GGAAGACACAATATGACAAATGTAGTTTTCATCCTATAACTACTCTTAGATAAATACACACGGCACGAACCCAATTTTGTATATGTGTATTGGCACTGCATTGGCTGTTTCCAACTTTTTGCCAGTTCTACTTCCAGTGACTTAGTACATATGAAAGTAAGTACCTAGCACAAGACTTCTGATTCCTCTTTTAGTACACTATATATGCCTCCTTACATCTCTGATAAACTTAAAGTCCTCCAGTGCTGCATAGTTAGACATTACTCCATTCAGTTCAGAAACTTCTTGATAAATTGTAAATATCTTCTGGAATCTCCTGTTTAATTTCTCACATACTTCTCGATCATTCTCTACTAATGAGTACTCTCCTAGCCATTTATCACCACCTACTCCTTAACTTATGTATTCCTCCTGATGTAGCTCTGAAGCAATTTGGTATCTATGGCATCCTTAACAGAACAGGTTTCATTCCTTGTATGCCAGCACTGTATTATATCACCTGGACATTTACCCAAACAATGCATCCCTACTACAACAAGACATTGAAATACAAATACTATACTGTACACACTTATTGCTCCTTCCCAAGGTGACTTCAAAGATGATTTTCCTTTGTCTGATTTTATTTAAGAATATATCAAGTAAAGTCTGGCTTATTTTTCATTACTCCTCATTCTTGTAATTACCTAAGTGTAATTACCTAAGTGTAGTTACAGGATGAGAGCTACGCTCGTGGTGTCCCGTCTTCCCAGCACTCTTTGTCATATAACGCTTTGAAACTACTGACGGTCTTGGCCTCCACCACCTTCTCACTTAACTTGTTCCAACCGTCTACCACTCTATTTGCGAAGGTGAATTTTCTTATATTTCTTCGGCATCTGTGTTTAGCTAGTTTAAATCTATTGCCTCTTGTTCTTGAAGTTCCAGGTCTCAGGAAGTCTTCCCTGTCGATTTTATCAATTCCTGTTACTATTTTGTACGTAGTGATCATATCACCTCTTTTTCTTCTGTCTTCTAGTTTTGGCATATTTAATGCTTCTAACCTCTCCTCGTAGCTCTTGCCCTTCAGTTCTGGGAGCCACTTAGTAGCATGTCTTTGCACCTTTTCCAGTTTGTTGATGTGCTTCTTAAGATATGGGCACCACACAACAGCTGCATATTCTAGCTTTGGCCTAACAAAAGTCATGAACAACTTCTTTAGTATATCGCCATCCATGTATTTAAATGCAATTCTGAAGTTAGAAAGCATTGCATAGGCTCCTTGCACAATATTCTTAATGTGGTCCTCAGGTGATAGTTTTCTATCTAGAACCACTCCTAGATCTCTTTCTTTATCAGAATTCTTTAAAGATTTCTCACATAATATATAGGTTGTGTGGGGTCTATGTTCTCCTATTCCACATTCCATAACATGACATTTATTATCATTAAATTCCATTTGCCAAGTGGTGCTCCATATACTTATTTTGTCCAGGTCTTCTTGAAGGGCATGACAATCATCTAAATTTCTTATCCTTCCTATTATCTTAGCATCATCAGCAAACATGTTCATATAATTCTGTATACCAACTGGTAGATCATTTATGTACACAATAAACATCACTGGTGCAAGAACTGAACCCTGTGGTACTCCACTTGTGACATTTCTCCATTCCGATACATTGCCTCTGATTACTGCCCTCATTATTCTATCAGTCAGAAAATTTTTCATCCATGATAGAAGCTTACCTGTCACCCCTCCAATATTTTCCAGTTTCCAGAACAACCTCTTATGTGGAACTCTGTCGAAAGCCTTTTTTAGGTCCAGATAGATGCAGTCAACCCAGCCATCTCTTTCCTGTAATATCTCTGTGGCCCGATCATAGAAACTGAGTAAATTCGATACACAGGATCTTCCTGATCGAAAACCATACTGTCTGTCTGATATTATATCATTTCTCTCCAGGTGTTCTACCCATTTAGTTTTGATTAGCTTTTCCAATACTTTCACTATTACACTTGTCAATGATACAGGTCTATAATTGAGGGGGTCTTCCCTGCTGCCACTTTTGTAGATTGGAACTATGTTAGCCTGTTTCCACACGTCTGCTACGATTCCTGTACACAGGGATGCCTGAAAGATCAGGTGAAGTGGAATGCTGAGCTCAGATGCACATTCTCTCAGAACCCATGGTGAAACGCCATCTGGGCCAGCTGCTTTGTTCCTCCCGAGCTCCTTTAGCATATTTTCCACTTCATCTCTAGACACCTCTATCCGCTCTATGTTGTTCTCTGGAATTCTTATTGTGTCTGGTTCTCTGAAGATTTCATTTTGTACAAACACACTTTGGAACTTTTCATTTAATGTTTCACACATTTCCTTTTCATTTTCCGTGAATCTGTTTCCCATTTCCAACCTCTGGATATTATCCTTTACCTGCAATTTGTTGTTTATGAATTTGTAGAATAGGCCCGGTTCTGTTTTACATTTATCTGCTATCCCTTTTTCAAAATTTCTTTCTGCCTCTCTCCTTACTGCTGTATAATTGTTTCTCGCATCTTTGTATCGCTGGTATGTTTGGGGGTTTGGCCTCTTCCTATACTGATTCCATTTTTGTGTCTTTTGGTCTCTTGCCCTCTCACAATTTCTGTCGAACCAATCCTGTTTTCTGGTCCTGCATCTCTGTTTTGGTATAAATTTTTTTTGTGCCTTTATCATATATTTCACAAAACTTGCCATACATCTCATTCACTTCCTTGCCTAGCATCAAGTCTGTCCAATTATACTCACTAAAAAAATTTCTAAGGTCACCATAATGTCCTCTCCTGAAGTCTGGTTTTTCAACTGCTTCAACCTCCTTATTTTCTTCCAGCTTATAACGCATTGCATACTTTATTCCCAAAAAGACATGGTCACTTTTACCCAAGGGAGGAAGGTACTGAATGTCAAATATCTCTTCCTCCTTCCTGGTAAATATCAAATCTAGCATGGAGGGAACGTCCCCTTCCCTCATCCTCGTAGCTTGTTTAACATGTTGATACAAGAATGTTTCCAGGATGAGGTCTACAAATTTACAGGTCCAAAAATCTTCTGTTTTAGCTTCATATGCTTCCCAGTCTATGGATTTCAAGTTGAAGTCACCGACTATCAACAGTCGTGATCTATCGTTATCCGCTCTCGCTATAATCTCTCTCATTATTGTTATAAGACCTTCACGTTTACTATCTAGCTCCTCCTTTGACCATGTGCTGCTTGGCGGTGGACTATATGCATTTATCATCATTAGTTTATCATCCTCATAGCAGATCTCTAGTGCTATTATGTCAACTTCTTGTGGATTGGCAGTCATTATTTCCTTCACCTTTAGGTGTTCTTTTACCAGCACAGCAACGCCACCGCCTTTCCTAATTTTTCTGTCCCGTCTCCAAATTGAGTAGCCCCTTGGGAATATGACCTCATTTAAAATTACATCTTCAAGTTTTGTCTCCGTGAGTGCAACAATGTCTGGTGTCTGCAGCTGTATTACATCACTTAACTCCAGTATCTTCGATCTCACTCCATCTATGTTGGTGTATGCAATCTTCAGGAACTTGTTCCCCCTCTCCTTATTCTTCACTCCCCCTCTCTCTATTGATTTTGTTGGTTTGCCTTTATGTACCACTTTACTGGTTTGCCTACCCCTATCACTTTGTAGAAAAAAGAATTTATTTCTTCTTCATTCCTGCTCTCATTTAAATGTTTTGCCTCGGCGAGGTTCAGTTTCAGCTTCTCTCTATCTTCTTTTGAAAGATCTCGTCTTGACGACCACCCTTTCCCATCCTCATCCCTTTGCAATTTTCTAGCATTCCTTAGTACTTCTTCCATCTGTTTGGCACCGTTTAGGGTGATCCTCAAAGGTCGATCTTTCCCTTTTACGTACCTGCCTATTCTCCTGTAGTCGCACACATTCTCTCTGTTTATAAGACCTTCCACGAGGCCAACAATTTTATCTACTACTTTAGCTTCTTCTACAGCTCTTTCTGACCTAGATTATAGATTGTGGTTATATTGACATGTTTGTTTAAAAAGTTCTTTGTTATTGTTTACCCATATGTACATAAAGTTATGTTTTCTTACTTTATCTTAGCATGGTTAAATTCCCCTATGATTAAAAGTCAAGATACGTTCCTGTTTTTAAATCAGGTAAATTTCACATGATATTAATATCTGCCTTATTGTTTCTGTCATACTCCTGCTGCCTGGGTCTTCTTTCATTTTGTGAAGGGTGTTATGACTAATTTTCATCACAGGACTTTCCAGTGTTAATTTTATTGATTCTTTCACAGCCTGGGACTGACAGTGCCTAGAATGTTCAATCTTTCATGATCAATAGAGCCACTCCCACTCCCCCTTTTCCTTCTTTATCCTATCTATGAACATGTAAGTCTTGTGGGAAATGGTGCCTTTGTTTCGACAACCGACAGTTTACCTTCTATGAATGCAATTACATGTGGGTTCGTTACATTGTTTTTTTCCTGCCTGGGTGCACATGGCCTTGCCTAGATGCCTGTGGCCCCTATCTGAGTGCCTCCTGGACAAACCAAAGGTTAAGTCCCTGTCTAGGTGCCCATGGCACTGAACAGATACCCATGTTCCTACCTGGGTACCCAGGGCCCTACTTGGGTGCCCATGACTCTGTTTGGGTGCCCGTGGCTATGCCTGGCTGCCTGTGGCCATGCCTGCATGGCCTAGACCCAGCCTAAAAATCTAGCCTAGCCTAGGTGCCCGTGGCTCTCCCTTAATGCTTGTGACTTCTCCTGGTGCCCTTGGCTACGCCTGGATGCCCCTGGCTCCTATATAGTCCTACCAGGGTGCCAGTATTCCTGTCTATACATGCATGGTACCTCCTGGGTTCCCATGGCACTGCCTGGGTACCCATAGCCCCGCCTTGGCCTCATACACACACTGGCGGCTCGCCCCCTCTGTGTGCTCGCACAAGTGTCATCATCAGCTGTGTTTCCCCAGCCATTCCTTAACCTACCTGCTTATTTTCTCCAGGTTTGTCTGCACCAGCGTGTCGGCCATATCTAGGGTGGTTGAAGGAGCCTTTAAGGTGACAAAAGAAGAAGGAAATTAGCGAAAAAATCGTCAAATTCCGGCGTCCATTAGTAATTAGTTGTGTAGTCGTCGCCTTCGACCCATTTGTTTACTAGATTGTCTCGCGTCCGGCAAGTGTGTGGCCCAGACTTGGGCGACCCTGGACGCCCACGCCTGCCCATGACACACACACACAGATCATTAACTACTAGTTAATTTATAATCAACCGAGGCAATAATGATTTGAATATAAGCTTCATATTCTCTCTTTAATTTGATATTTTAAAAGTTGAGCTTTATCACCCTTGCATTCATTCGAACACAACTGAGCGTATGGTAGGTAATGATAATTTAAATGATAAATAGGTTAGTTTGAACGTAAATTGCGAACACAAGTGAAGAAATAAAATTAATTTTAAGATTTAAACGATAAATATTGTTGCTGATATTTTGTTCTTGTCACATTCCAGTGTTCTCTGTGTCCCTGACTTGAGCTGAATCCAATCGTCACAACATCTTTTTTTTCCAACAAATTGCAAATAAGATTCTACCATGAATATAAAAACATAACCTATACTACAATTCAAAGTAAAAGGTAAATTATACGGCATTCATTTGCCGTGCAACTAGGAAGAGATGAGCGAGGGCGAAGAATCGGACATTAGTCGATACTTGGTGAGTCGCCGCGCGCACGGCCCTGTCGGCGTCCTCCGTAATTTATGAGCTTCGCTTCTTCTTTTTAGACAAAATGAGTACGCGAGAAGGTAGTGTGGCGCTGCTTCTTCCTCTGATATCAGAGTTACTTGCAGATTTGTATAAACCCGGGCAATGCAGAGAGGTGGTAGGGCGGGCGGCGCCAATATACCCTTGTTCCCAGGCCAGCCCCTCGGCCGCATGCCCCATCATGCATTTGTCACCCTCTGTTTACCCGGGTGGCTGTGGCTTGTGGCAGAGCTGTGGGGCGGGGGTGTGGAGCTGTCAGGCAGGGGGTGTGGAGCTGTCAGGCAGAGGGGGGTGTGGAGCTGTCAGGCAGGGGGTGTGGAGCCGTCAGGCAGGGGGGGGGGGGTGTGGAGCCGTCAGGCAGGGGGGTGTGGAGCCGTCAGGCAGGGGGGGGGGGTGGGTGTGGAGCCGTCAGGCAGGAGGGGGTGTGGAGCTGTCAGGCAGGGGGTGGGGTGTGGAGCTGTCAGGCAGGGTGGTGTGGCGCCGTCAGGCAGGGGGGGTTGTGGAGCTGTCAGGCAGGGGGGGTGTGGAGCTGTCAGGCAGGGTGGGGTGTGGAGCTGTCAGGCAGGGTGGTGTGGAGCTGTGAGGTGGGGTGTGGCGCCGTCAGGCAGGGGGGTGTGCGGAGTCGTCAGGCAGTGGTGTATGGAGCCGTCAGGCAGGGGGTGCGGAGCCGTCAGGCAGTGGTGTATGGAGCCGTCAGGCAGGGGGGTGCGGAGCCGTCAGGCAGTGGTGTATGGAGCTGTCAGGCAGGGGGGTGCGGAGCCGTCAGGCAGTGGTGTATGGAGCCGTCAGGCAGGGGGGTGTGGAGCCGTCAAGCAGGGGTGTATGGAGCTGTCAGGCAGGGGTATATGGAGCCGTCAGGCAGGGGGGGTGTGGAGCTGTCAGGCAGGGGTGTATGGAGCCGTCAGGCAGGGGGGTGTGGAGCTGTCAGGCAGGGGTGTATGGAGCCGTCAGGCAGGGGGGGGGTGTGGAGCTGTCAGGCAGGGGTGTATGGAGCCGTCAGGCAGGGGGGGTGTGGAGCTGTCAGGCAGGGGTGTATGGAGCCGTCAGGCAGGGGGGGTGTGGAGCTGTCAGGCAGGGGTGTATGGAGCCGTCAGGCAGGGGGGGGTGTGGAGCCGTCAAGCAGGGGAGGTGTGGAGCTGTCAGGCAGGGATGTATGGAGCCGTCAGGCAGGGGGGGGGTGTGGAGCCGTCAGGCAGGGGGGTGTGAAGCCGTCAGGCAGGGGTGTATGGAGCCGTCAGGCAGGGGGATGGGGGTGGCGGTATGAGCATAGTGCGAGACGGCTCCTATTTCTAACCAAGCAACTCGCTCATATGTATGTCTTAACCCTGGTTTTAAGCAATCTAGCAATTCCCATCCATAAATAAATAAAAACTCGTACCAAACCAATATTTAAAACAATAAAGGTACCTGCAGAAGGCCTCTGGCCTGTACGGGGGCATCCCATATTTGTTTTCATTGTAAAATGTTGATATAACATCTTATAATATCCCATTGTTACCCGTTTCATTTGTAAACTTGAGTCATGTCACACATTACTCTCTGCCTTGCCAGGGAATGTTAATAAAGATTTTTTCCATTGTTGTTCGTAAGGGTAGGTATGCATTCACTTTGTTTTTGATGTTCACATCAAATCTCAACTACATTATGTAAATGGGGCCCTAAGGAGGCAAGATAAAGCTGAACACTAATATTAGATGTCTTATTGCAAATACTTTTACATATGAATCTCATTATGCTATATCTTTTCTCATTTATTTAGAACATGTTACCACAATATGTACATGCAATATAGCAAGAAAATATCCTCGCCTACTGCCGACAAAGCCATAGGACAACTAGCCTCAAACAATAATTACATACAATGTAGGCATCACTGTGCAAACATGGAACCTCACCGGGCTCTTACTCCACACCAATCCAAGTGACTGTTAAGGTACCTCTACTAAAACAAAAATAAAGTATGGAGGAGGTACCAAGAGGCAGCACCCTCTCCCTAGTGTATGTGCAAAATACTCTCAACATTGTAAACTTATTAATTCTGTACAGTACTGTAAACTATAAAAATCTTCAGTACTGCTAATGTACATATATTCTCACATACATTATAACCGGGAAAAAAACAAGTACAACCAATCTCTACCCTAAACAAAAATTATAAACTATAATTACAGGCAATCACTCTAAGCATCATATTATATGCTACTTGTCTTATTCTGTGCATCTTTACATTGACTGTTTCTAAATCTTTAAATCCTTACTGATCACAACTCCCAAATATTTTTCTAATTTAGATTTGGTGATGTCATCATTTTCCAGCAGATATCAAGCAGCAACTATTACCTAGGTTCAGAATTCTACATGTCACTATTAAACTGCATGTGCCTATCTTTTGTTCATTTTAAAAGCCTATCCAAATCTTCTTTTTTTAATGATTTTGAGTCTTCTGACTATTTCTTACCTTATTGTCTGCACATTTGCAAATGTTGCTGCTCAGTCCCGTTATTTGAAGACTTCCCCAATATGTACATTAGGGGGCCAAGTATACATGTAGAGTATATTTTCAAGGGAAATGAAGATGTACCTCATGGGAGGAAAAAATGGGGGGGGGGAATTAGTCTCCACTGCTGACTGCTATTCATATTAATAGTGGAGCTGGAGCCTCATGAACTCTTGAAAAAGCAGAGTGAGACCTGCAAATTAAAGGTGAAGTTCTTGAATGTACGCCATCAGTACCTTAAGGTTAATGTTGGCTCTAGCAAGGGCATGAAAGAGTAGCTCTATCAGCTCATAGGAACATGTAAAGATTGTCTCAGGGTCTCAAGAGTCAAGTCTTGGGATAGTCATGGTGCTTCTGTTACAGTTCTTTACTTAAAATAATGTATACTGCATATGTATGCATAGTCAGACCTGTCTTGTACATGCACTCAAATAATATGACAATTCTTGAAAGCACAAAATACACCCTTGACAATCATTCTTGTAGTAAAAACAACCAAACGTTGAATCTGACAGGAACTGGGTCTTTCATCCATTAAAAACAGCATCAAGATACTGTACTGAAGTCTCAGATTGTCAGACTCTCCCATACAATGATATTGCCAAGAAAAAACATTTCTGGAGGCAGTAGCAATAGCTCAGTGACAAGATTGATCAGGATATTTAATGTAAGTAGTCTATCTGCTTGAACAAGCATCTCGGTTGATGTCCATAAAGCATCTACCTACCTGGGAGGAAGAACCTACCTGGTGTTTAAATCAAGTTCCCATGGCACAGTGGTAAAGCATTCGCCCAGCGCTTTTGGCCTGGGTTCATATCCTGGCCAAGGAGGATTGACTGGGTACCAATCCTTAACTGTAGCTGCTATTCACCCAGCAGTGAATGGGTACCTGGTGGTTAAATGATTTTTCGGGTCGTATTCCAAGGAAAAATTAGACTTAAGGACCTGCTCAAAACACTGTGTTCCAGTGGCTTTACAAGAATGTAATAACTCTTGTACAGTATATATATAAAAAAATGCTCACAAAAATGTCTAGTATGTTACTTGTATATTTCAAGGAAATTTTATAAAATCTATACTGATGGATCTGCTGATGCTACTAATGTGGTTTTGGTTAGTAAACTGTCACCAGAGAACATTGTAAACGGAGTGTATGTGTCACTTTCCAACTTCAGACTTGCTTTTAATTAATTACATGGATGGTGAAATACTAAAGAAACTGTTCATGACTTTTGTGAGACCAAAATTGGAATATGCAGCAGTTATATGGTGCCCAGATCTCAAGAAGTGCATAAATAAACTGGAAAAGGTGCAAACTCATGCTACAAAATGGCTTCAGGAACTGAGAAACAAGAGTTATGAGGAGAGACTAGAGCCATTAAATATGCCAAAACTAGAAACCTAGTACAGTATTATACTCTAAAGTTTCATTTTATGACCTCGCAACAGGTAAAGGAATATTTTCAGTGTTTCTTATTTTCTTGTGTTTTATAGAATAAGGATTATGTTTTGAGTAAATAGGAATTGGCTATGCTTTCATAGAGCTAGTATTGCAATATTAACTTTATCTTGAAATAGGATTATAGAACAAGTTTCATTTTATTGTATAGTACACAATAAAAGCATGTACAATATATCTATATATAATTGTATGTTTTCGCTTTTCAGGCATCTTCCAGAAGATTAAGCTGGATTTCTCAATTTTTCTACTCTGAAATCAGTATTATATTAATATATTTACCTTACTAATAATGTAAAGCATTAATTTTTCCAAACTAAAATATGGAAATTTTCAGGAAAACAAGTATCCAACTTTATTTCTCAGGGGGAGGGGAGCCCCTTTGGCTCCTCAGAGCTAATCGGGCTGATATGAATTTATCAGACCCTGGCATCAGTCAGTCAATGCACTTGGAATTCAAGCCTACCAGGGTCCATGAGCCAGAACCTGGCGCCCCTCAGAGAGGCACGAGGAGCAATGAACTATAGAAACCTCCATGTGGTTGGAAGAATTCCATGTCTGCCATCGACTGGGTCAGGCACCAAGAAAGGTAGGCGCCCCAAAACAAACCCCCTATTCTGGTTAAAATATTGCCATTAAAAGCCGAACCAGTAGACAGAACTCCCCAACTGAAAAAGAGCAAACAAGCATGACATCACCACGCCATAGTCTGTGCAGCACCCCCCTCCCTCCCCGGGAGGGGGAAGGGGGACCCCCTGTGTCGGCTATCCACACCCCAGGTCTGTGGCTGATGTGAAATTGGTAAGGTCATTCGTCTCTGGTTCCTGAGTTTTCCAGTTCTGTGCCTTGTGGTGTGGTTCTGTCTGATAGGTGGTGCACAAGCCAGGAGTAATTTCACAAGTACTTGAGCTGCGTGCACCTAGGGTCTCCTTCCCTAGGTGCCCTGTAAGTACTGACCTTCGAGCTTGGGGCCACCTTCCACAAGTCACCTTGAGG